TTCAGCTCTTTATTAGATCATCAGGTGTTTTAGACAGGCACAGTAACACAACCTCACAGAGTTAAACAAACACAACATAAAGAATGCAACACATCTTTGCATCATTAAAGCATTGTTCCACAGCATAAACAAATGTAACACACCTTAAAATAATATTCCACAACAAGATTCCTCCTATAGACTTGATTTGAGGCAAGGTCAGCAGTAGAGGAGAATCTTGGAATTACCTAGAACCTGCTGGAAGGGTACAGTCTTGGTTTCTTTCACTTTTGCTATGATAAAGTACTCTGAAAATAAAAAAACAACTTAGAGGAGAAAGGGCTTGTTCTGGCTCATACTTTCAGGGTCTAGTCCATCATAGTCAGGGCTCGAGGTGGAAGGAGCTTGGAGCATCTGGCCAACTCACATCAATAATCAGGAAACAGATTGATGAGTGTGTACACGCTAGGACTCAGCTCCTTTTCTTCACTTGCACAGCCCAGGATCCCAGCCAGGGAATGGTGCTAGCCACAGTGGGTGAGTGGTCTCACCCCAGTCAACATAGTCAAGGTAATTCCTCACAGGCATGCAGAAGCCCATCCTGGGTGATTCTAGACTCTGTCAAGGGACAATGAACGCCAACAGGTAACAGAGTCATCTCATGGAAGAGTAGTGTTGCAAAGTGTCCCCGTGTCCCGTCCCCCCGCCCCCCGCCAGTCAACTGCTCACCACTCGTAGGAGTTTCTATGTGTTGGCTTTTCATGGATGTCGTAGCTACTCACTTCTCAAAACAACCTTGTTTGCTACCAAGCAGGCATCTCATAGCTCTTGGCTGTCTGTCCAGGCTGGATGAAATCTGTGCTTCATGTCCATGAAGGTAGTCTCAGAGCCTCTTCAGTGGCAGGCTTGTTTAAGGAAAAGCCAATGTTCTAAAAGAATTGTGTCACCTCCGTCTGGCCGACAATCGGGAATCTTCCAGCCCAGCGCAGAGCTCAGACCTCAGCACCTTCCCCAAGAGCACATGCTTCTGGGCTTGGTTTTCACCCATTTAAGCAAGGATGGGAAGGTCTCTAAAACACCAGAGTCCCTAAGAACGGTTACCATGGATAGGCCCTGTGTTCAGTATCCATTATGCAAAATAGATGTCACTGCTCTCCTTAGCGACATTGATGGGCTGCCTGGCAGGGCACCTGTTGTTGGTTACAGGTGAAGACAGCCTCTTTGAAGAAACATCTAGAATAGAGCTTTTGTAACACAATTGCTAATCACCCCTGAGTGTGAGAGCCCAGTTAAGATAATAACAGTTTCAGGATATAATCTAAACTGTCCAACATGTGCATAATAACACGCTGAATTGCTAAAGTATTTTAAAGTAAATTACAGGGCTGGGGTGTAGCTTGGTAAAGTACTTGCCTAACGTGCAAGAAGCTCTGGGTCCAATCCCAGCACTGAATGAGCGAGGCATGGGGGCACACGCCTGTAATCCTAGCATTTGGGAGCACTCAATGTCATTCTTGGCTACATCGCGAAGTTAAGACCAGACTCTGGAATTCATGAGATCCAGCACCACACAAATCAGGCATGGTAATGCACACTGTGACCCCTAAACTGGGGAAGTTGAGGCAGAAAGTTCATACATTTGAGGCCATCCTCAGGCAATATAGCAAGTTTGGGGCTATGTAAGACCCTGTCTTTTTAAAAATATGTTAAAAATAATATTCTCTGGCCAGCATGGTGGCACACCCCTGTAATGCCAACACTCAGAAGGCTGAGGTAGGAAGATCATAAATTTGAGGCCAGACTGCATAGTGACTTTGATGCTAGCCTGGGTCACATGAGACCCTGTTGTCTCAAAACAGAGAGGAGGTGGGAGGTCGGGGGAGAAGAGAAAAGCAAGATTTTCAAGCCAGACCGTTAGTGATCATTTAGTCCGATTCTCACATGTGTAACATTCCCGGGTGTTGGTTGTCCAACCCGGATCCCCAGGATTGTTAGTACAGAGGGCACACTGCTCAGCTGGGTAGCTTGTCCGGGGCCTCCATTTGGCTTCCCGGGTACCCACAGTTGTACACGCAGTCCATTTCTTTCTTCGACAGCTTTTTACCACGGTAGTTTCTGCTGCTCTCTGGTGAAGTCTGCCTCCATGTAACGTTAGACTTGGGGTACGATTTCTTCAAACAGAAGTTGTTTCATTGCAGTGGCTTTTCACATGTCACAGGGCTCCAAGTTTTCTTATCAGGCAAAATAGTAACAGACATATCCACCTTCTCTCTTCCCTAGCGACTTTTTACTGGACGTGAGTCTGTCTTAGACCCGGGATCCGGAACAGACTGTAGTTTGAGGCAGAGCACAATGAAACCTTCCCAGGAGCGACCCCTGTGGAGGATCTTACTTCTGGATGGTTTAGCTGTTTGTGGGTTTCATCATGCTGTGAGGGAGAAAAAACAAAACAAAACCAAACTGGGGGTTTGTGGTCAGCTCAAACCCCCAGGTCACTTTCATAGCCAGGTTCTGTATGAAGTAGGTTTGAAGTCAGCTGGCTGAGTTACATTCCTTCTGACGTCTAGGTGAATACGGGGATTACTTTCGTCTGCTGCTTCCAGGGATTTATACTGTCACCGCCAAGGCACCAGGGTATGACCCAAAAACAGTGACTGTGACTGTGGGGCCTGCAGGACCAACACTGGTGAGTCTGGCTGAGCCTTAACCTGCTCTGTAAATGTCACGCAGCGTCTTAAACAGCCCTGTTGCTGGGTTCCCCTTGACCTTTCCTGATTCGTCTCTTTGATACAGCCTGCTTCTCTCATCCTGCTTCTTCCTTTGTACATTAGTGCTAACACTTCCTCCTCACGGATTGCAAAGACAAAGCACACGTCCACAGAGGTGCACAACAAGGCTAGTTTGTAAGCGCTGGGGCCCTGCAGATTCCCCAGGCTGCGCTGGTTGCATTCTTCATGACCATGAACAGCAACCACCACTAGGTGGCGATCTGCAAGTTGTCTGTGCCCTGTGGTCTCAGGCTCACTTCCCATTGCGGCCACCGAGGACCAGCCCCCTCCGATGATGCTCTCCTTTATAGAGAGGATGAGAAGCGAAGAAGCATTGACTTACAGCCTGGAACTCTTCACTGTAGATCATGTTATGTCAGAACCTCAGAGCATAAAGGGAGTGCTGTCAGCCCTCTCCATGCACTCAAACAGCTCCTATTTTTGAATGCCGTCCTCAGTACCTTTTGAGTAGCAGCTGGGCATCAGATATTGTAGGAGAGCTTCCCACAATTACCCATTTTAACCTTCACAACTACCTGTAAGCAACTGTTCAGTATCACGCAGTGGGTGGATGGTGGGGGTTGATTCACCTCCTCATGTGTCACGGGGACTCACACTGTGCTCCCTGCCTGTGTGCAGAAAGCTGTACGTCAACGGAGCAAAGAGAGCTTCGGGTCTTCTAAAAATTCCTCTGAAACTTACAGATCTCCGCCCCCTCAAACACCTCCTACATATTTTCTCTCTCTGTGTGTGTGTGTGTGTGTGTGTGTGTGTGTGACGTATATGAATATATGAGCATGTGTTGGGAGGCTAGGGTATGGACATGTCATGGCACTTGTATGGAGGTCTAGGGACAATCTCAAGTGTCAGTCCTTGCCTGCCACCTTATTTGAGGCAGGGTCTCTTCATTGTCTGCTGCACAGTGTGTGTGCTCCAGGCTGGCTAGCCCGGGAGGGACGCTCCATCTCTGCCTTCAGTCTTGCTGCAGTCACTGGGACTACAGAAACACACACACACACACACACACACACACACACACACACACACACACACTGTTGTGTCTTCCTTTAAGTGGCTTGTGGGGATTCAAACTCGGGTCTTCACACTTGTTTGGCACATGCTTTCTACTGACAGACAGGAAGAGAAGACAGCCCCCCATCACGGAGAACCCTGTTTCCCAGCCAGCCATCCCCTTTCTTCCCCATTTCACCCTAACATCAAATGTCCAGCAGCAGCCGCATCCATAAACCATGCGATGTAGGCAAGCCTGCTCACTGCCAAATGTAAACGGCTCCACAGCCTCTTGAGTTACGCCTGTTTTGAAGAAGTTGGCTCTCCCTCCCGCCCTCCATAGCCTTTAAATAAACGAGCATACCCACCCATTGTGTCAAGTCTAACCCGGAGGCACAGTCTGCCGTTTGGATGTGATATTCAGAGGCCACCTCTCTTCACTGACTGCACTGCCCTTTGCTTGGCTTCCATTTTAATTTTAGAGCCGTTAGCCGCTTTCCCCAGGAAAGAAAAAAGATGTTTCCTCAAGGGTTTTCATCTTACATTTAAGAGGATTAAAACCTCTCCCAGGGCCCAGCATTCCGGGCTGTCCCCACCTCCCTGCTGCAGCCGATGCTGGAGCCTTTCTCTTTGCTCTGCCTTTCCTCCCCTGTTGCCTGAGGTCTCCTCTCTTTCGTTCCAGGGTTTATGTGTTTACTAAAGGGAAAGTAGGAAATGGTCTCCTTGAGTTGGCTCCGACTCCCCTCCCCTTTTACAGAGCCAGCGGAAAATCTGGCCATGGATTTTTATGGAAGAGGCAGGAAACTCAGAGCATGGTTTTAACTCCCCGCTGCTTCAGTAGTTGAACCTGTTAGAGGAAGGGGTTTCGGGGGGGGGGCTGTAGTTAGGACATGGTGTCGCCCCCTTTTCTGCTGCCGTGATGGCTCTGCAGCCACACCAGTGCCCCACACCAGTGCCCCGACACCCAAACGCCCAGTCCACAGCATCTTCCCATTTGTGTCCCATGGCTAGAGGGCAGCTGTACACAGCCCTTCCATCACACTGAGGATGTGGTGGCCACACCTTCTCATCCTAGCACTCTGGAGACAGAGGCAGGTGGGTCTCTGTGATTTCAAGGCCAGCCTGGACTACAGAGCAAGTTCTAAGTAGCTGGGGCTACATAGTGAGACCCTATCTCAGAAAGAAAAAAGAATCTAGCCAGGCAATGTCTGTTACCTCTCTG